GAGTTCATTTTTCAGTTTGTCTTCGACTTCGAGTCTCACCACGGCGGCATCGTAACTGCTAGAGATTTCGGATAACTTCGACGTGATAGCCAAGGGTCTTCTTGAAACGTAGATACTTTGTTTATGAAAATCGGTGAAGGACTACTAGAGATATAATTATTTTAGTGTCACTGTATACCAAACGATCGAATTCGATCGTTGGGGTCTCAAAGGGTTAAAGAGTCCAGCTAAGACACCACCGTGGCCGCTTGATCTAGGCGTTGCTTCTTGTCCCAGGGTGTTAAAGAGTCCAGCTCAGACTCCACTGTGGCCGCTTGATCTAAGTGCTCCTACCAGCTGTTCACTTGGGTGAAATGAAAATAGTGCACGTTTCCACTGTCAATCACCGCGCAGTCGGCCGCCGGCATTTTCCTAGAGCAAATTTTGTCGTGTGCCAACCTAACACTATTTTCTCAAACCATGTGTTCCAAGATTGTCACTTGTAGCGCAGAGACATTTGCTTTGTGTTTTTGTGAGGTATGGACCAGTACCCGGGTGTGAGGTATGGACCAGCACCCGGGTATGAGTTTCTATCTTGTTGCATGATGGTACTACTTATACACTACTGTTCTCTCAATGTCTACTCTGTAATGTTGATGATGACGCTGTGCGTGTGTGTGTGTGCGCGCGTGCGTGTGTGTGCGTGTGTACGTGCGTGAAATGTGGACGGCTTACTGCGTGGAGTTCTGATTGTGTGGCAAAGGGCTACGTGAGGAGAATCAGTTGTTTGTTGCGTACGAGACAAGAAAACAGCTGTCATCATTGCAACATTATTTTACTAAAATGACTTTGATACACGATTGCAGAGAGATGTAATAAGACCAGTGTTGACGGGATTGCTTTGCTTTGTGGCCTGCTGTGTGTGTGTGATCTGTGTGTGGCCTGCTGTGTGTGTTATCTGTGTGTGGCCTGCTGTCTGTGTGTGTGTGTGTGTGTGTGTGTGCGTGCGTGTGTGCGCACATGTGTGTGTGTGTGTGTGTGTGTGTGTGTGTGTGTGTATGTGTTTGTTTGTGTTTGTGTGTGTGTGTGTGTGTGTGTGTGTGTATGTGTTTGTGTGTGTGTATGTGTTTGTTTGTGTGTGTGTGTGTGTGTGGCCTGCTGTGTGTGTGATTGTATTGCTGGCTGGCATAGATATCCACTCATTCCATGTCTGCAAGTTGGTGCCAAGGAGAAGGGGACATTCATCCCGATGGAGGTAAACTCTTCTCTCTCTCTCTCTCTCTCTCTCTCTCTCTCTCTCTCTCTCTCTCTCTCTCTCTCTATTTACGCACGCACATGACGCCCGGAGTTACTATGGTTACCTTTGTGACAGTTGTGTCCAATGACATCATAGCCATTTAGGACGACATCATAGCCGTTTTGGACTGGCTAGTGGCCATCCATCTATGCTGCACAAGATGTGTAGCCGGGTTACGGCGGTGTGAATTTACTTTTTATTGAGGAATGTAGTATAACAAGCACAGCTGAACTCCGTCTGGTTACAGGAAAGACTAGTTGAAATTTATCACGCACCGGCAAGAAAGTAACGAACTAACCAAGGTACAAACAAGACCGCAACACCAGAGAGATGCTTGCGCGTCGGAGAATCAGCGCACCTAGATCACGCACATGCATAGAACAAGGCTATCAGCGCAGCTAGAGTGCGTACACCACGAGGCCGAGAACCGGAACTAACAAGAACTCGCGTACTGAAGTACGACACAGAGTAGCCTACATGTAGCCTTTCGATCCGGTACTGCACGTACTAAGAACTGGAAACTAACGACAATCGCGATGTAACAAGATGGTCTAGCCATGAAAGCCTACCATGCAGTCGACCACAATATGCAGTCACAATATGCAGTCACAATATGCAGTCACAATATGCAGTCACAATATGCAGTCACAATATGCAGTCACAATATGCAGTCACAATATGCAGTCACAATATGCAGTCACAATATGCAGTCACAATATGCAGTCACAATATGCAGTCACAATATGCAGTCACAATATGCAGTCACAATATGCAGTCACAATATGCAGTCACAATATGCAGTCACAATATGCAGTCACAATATGCAGTCACAATATGCAGTCACAATATGCAGTCACAATATGCAGTCACAATATGCTACCACAATATGCAGTCACAATATGCTACCACAATATGCAGTCACAATATGCTACCACAATAATACTAGTAGATGTACAGGAATCAAAAACTTGGGAGGTAGTTGGCCGTCCAAGGGCATGCATTTCTAAACTTGGGAGGTAGTTGGCCGTCCAAGGGCATGCATTTCTAAACTTGGGAGGTAGTTGGCCGTCCAAGGGCATGCATTTCTAAACTTGGGAGGTAGTTGGCCGTCCAAGGGCATGCATTTCTAAACTTGGGAGGTAGTTGGCCGTCCAAGGGCATGCATTTCTAAACTTGGGAGGTAGTTGGCCGTCCAAGGGCATGCATTTCTAAACTTGGGAGGTAGGTTGCCGTCCAAGGGCATGCATTTCTATCAAAAATAATATTGGAGACTGGTCCTCTTTCTGATATCACTATCTCCCTTCCTGACATCCTAGGAACAATGTGCTGCTGGATAGGTTTTCTTCTGTTGTTAATAGCCCGTTATTGGTGACCTAGCCTTATTACTCATGTGTATGGGCGGCCTTGTATGCCCATTGCAGCTGTGTACCATTGCGAGCGGTCAGCGTGTGACGAAGAAGCTTCCGGACGCTGCAGTTGCTACCATGATCAAGGTACGCTTGTGGCCGTTTGCATGATTCTATGCCTGCGTTGAGCATTGCTTCATGTTGCTCTGTATGTAGCTTCAGCCTTTCTCCCATTGTGTCTTGGCCTATTCGTTGTGTGCATGTGCTACCTTGTATGTTTCCACTGGAGTGGCGAGAGCTTGAGAGGCCCCAAGGGAGGGGGGAGGTAGAGCTTGAGGGTTTTCCATTGGTAAGTGGTCAGCCGCACATTCTGTGTGTGCTCTCTCTCTCTCTCTCTCTCTCTCTCTCTCTCTCTCTCTCTCTCTCTCTCTCTCTCTCTCTCTCTCTCTCTCTCTCTCTCCCTCTCTCCCTCTCCCTCTCTCTCTCTCTCCCTCCCCTGCAGGCCATTACAGAGTCAGCTCCAGAGCGCAAAGCAGGAATACAGTGGAAGGTATGTTGCTTGGTGGGAGTTGTGGTGCAGTGGCTTGGTGGGAGTTGTGGTGCAGTGGTGCAGTGGTGCAGTGGCTCTGCTTGTTGTTTCACTTGATCATGTGCATGTGTGCATGTGTGAAGTGATCATGTGCATGTGTGCATGTGTGCATGTGTGCATGTGCATGTGTGCATGTGTGAAGACCACCTCGGAGTACACAGTCATGTAAGGTAGAACAGATGGGGGGGGGGGGGTGAGGTCAATGGCATTCAACTTTGTCCAAATTTTGGCAGAACATCTTCTGTGTCACATGGGCTGCTTAGCTAAATGTTGAAGGCGATCGCGCTACAGGAACATTATCCGACTAACTCCTTACTACCAACAGCACTACACTGCACTACACTGCACTGCACTGCACTACACTACACTACACTACACTACACTACACTACACTGCACTGCACTGCACTGCACTGCACTACACTACACTACACTGCACTGCACTGCACTGCACTGCACTGCACTGCACTGCACTGCACTACACTACACTACACTACACTACACTGCACTGCACTGCACTGCACTGCACTGCACTGCACTACACTACACTACACTACACTACACTTAGAGATGTCAGAGTGGTTACGTAATCGCCCTAAAATCGTGTCGCAGGGCTGACCATGCCAGCTACAGTCACGCGTGGCACACGACCATGATCCTGCACCAGGCTGAAAAAATCGCGTGGGCGTCCAAGCAGCATACTTCCATGGACTCGTACAGCAGCCCAAGCTTGATGTTGAAATGTTTGGAGAGGAAGAAGGCGAAGAGCAAAGAGAAAGCCCCTGTTCAGAGTTTGAACTAGCAATCTGCGTTGTGTTTTCGCGAACCTACCGTTGAGCCAAAGTAGGTTATTTTCGTTTGGCTTTTTCGGTCCCTGCGCATCGGTGCACGCCTTGCATTCGCTCACCATCGTCTTCCGCGTCCTTGAATTTAGTTTCTTGCAAAGTTTGGTCGCCGTGCTTGCTTGCGCACCATAGTTTTTTGATCTTTTTGTGCGCACCTATGTGAACAGGGTACATATGAGTGGTCTACGTGCGTGTTCAAGTAGTGGTTTCAGTTCTGATGAGAGGCCCAGAGGAACAACGTGATTTGTGCGTTGGATCATCTCTGGCTAAGCAGCTCGAGGTAAACCAAATCGACACGATATCGGATGGACTGGTCTTGGAACAGAGCAAGGTGAACGATGAAAATAACTGTACAAAACACGTCCCAATGTTCCTGGGTTCTCACTGGCGTAGTTGTTCGATACTACATTAGTAGCTTTGCGATAGAGAAACAAAAATGCTTGATTCGACAAGGTGTTGTCCTTTGCCGTCCATGGCGAGACGAACTAATTAATTTTGTTGCTTGGAGTACGGATTCGTCGTAATTTTTGCACTTTCCCTCAGCACTGCACTTTGTTCCCCATGGCAACCGCTCATGACGCACTGGGCAAGTTGACGGCTTTTGTGCCATCGATTCTTGCTGTTTGTATGCAGTGGTGCATCCCTCAGCACGACAATGGCGGGTGCCTGTCATCCTACTTCGAGGGCGTATAATACCGCTTCCATAGCTTGGATTCACCTAAAATTTGACCAGTACGGAGCGTTTTGGATACTGATTCGATTGGTATATCACTCATTCCTCTGGTTTCAAGTTAGATTTTTCGTCTGATATCGCTACTACACTGCACTGCACTGCACTGCACTGCACTACACTACACTACACTACACTACACTACACTACACTACACTACACTGCACTGCACTGCACTGCACTACACTGCACTACACTGCACTGCACTGCACTGCACTGCACTGCACTGCACTGCACTGCACTACACTACACTACACTGCACTGCACTGCAGTCTGCACTGCACTGCACTGCACTGCACTGCACTACACTGCACTACACTACACTACACTACACTACACTACACTGCACTGCACTGCACTGCACTGCACTGCACTGCACTGCACTACACTACACTACACTACACTGCACTGCACTGCACTGCACTACACTGCACTGCACTGCACTGCACTGCACTGCACTGCACTGCACTGCACTGCACTGCACTGCACTGCACTGCACTACACTCACTGCACTGCACTACACTACACTACTAGCGATGTCAGGGTAAATTTCTGTTTTGAGAATCGGGCAAATATTGTAATACCATTCGATTCCTGAAGACAAGTAGAGTATACTGGCAAAGTTTGAAGCAAATCGGAGCAAATATAGTGGACTTATTCCAGTTTAGAGTGCGCGGGGTAAGCGCCGCCATTGTCGAAAAGCACCATGCCGCACTGTACACAAACCAGATCTCACCACGGCACAAAATCGGTCTTGACAACAGGGATCGCGGCTCATGAATAATCTTGCGCACTGTACAAAATGTACATACCGTAGCTGTACTGTTTTTTTTTTGTTGCTGCAAACTGTTGGAGAAATTCAAGAAGACTGTTGAAGAGTAGCCGAAGTATGAGTTGTGATTTGGCCATTCTCCAAGACAAGAAGAGTTCGAAAAGTAGATTTTGATCCTGGTGGTGGTCCGCTTTGAACTTCATCAGTTCTAACAGTAACACCAATGCATTTGAAACGTTTCCGATCATGCTAGGCAGGGGCTTATCCTGCAATAGCTGCTCCTCCTTGAGTCCAAGACTCGACAAAACATCTTCACCGCCGGTCCCTTTGCTGGACGAACACTCATGATGGCGGTGTATCCAGCAATGGAGTACCTGTCGCGAAAAATACTACAAGTCTGGTGCGCGGCGTGATACGCCAGTGAAACTTGGCAGCAAACTAAATTGGACGACGGGGAACACGATGGAACTAAAATCAAACCTGTATCAGGCAGCGCAAGAGATGAAAAAGGCGACTGAACATACGCTAACTTGTCGGCGGCCATACTCCCAGCTCCGTAGGCGCAGCGCGCCCGCACAAACGCGGATACGAAAGTTCATCTTCTATTTTCGTGGCAATAGTCACGACCAAGCTTGTCACTGACGTCTTCAGGTCACATTTGAATATCCCGCGTGCCAAGTACTGCACGCTCTGGCCGCGACTGGCATTCTTCCGTACTGGCCTTTTGTGCCATCATTTCAGCTGGTTGCTAGGGAATCCAGCGACAAGCGTGGAGGTCACGTGGCACGGCACTCTGACATCGCTAACACTACACTACACTACACTACACTGCACTGCACTGCACTGCACTGCACTACACTACACTACACTACACTACACTACACTACACTACACTACACTGCACTGCACTACACTACACTACACTACACTACACTGCACTACACTACACTACACTGCACTGCACTGCACTACACTACACTACACTACACTGCACTACACTACACTACACTACACTACACTGCACTGCACTGCACTACACTACACTACACTACACTACACTACACTACACTACACTACACTACACTGCACTGCACTACACTACACTACACTACACTGCACTACACTACACTGCACTACACTACACTGCACTACACTACACTACACTGCACTACACTACACTGCACTACACTACACTCACTACACTGCACTACACTACACTACACTACACTACACTGCACTGCACTGCACTGCACTACACTACACTACACTACACTACACTGCACTACACTACACTACACTGCACTGCACTACACTACACTACACTACACTGCACTACACTACACTACACTGCACTGCACTGCACTACTCTACACTACACTGCACTACACTACACTACACTACACTGCACTACACTACACTACACTACACTACACTACACTACACTACACTACACTACACTACACTACACTACACTGCACTACACTACACTGCACTACACTACACTGCACTACACTACACTACACTACACTACACTGCACTACACTACACTACACTACACTACACTGCACTACACTACACTACACTACAAGCATGGCACTCTGCAAACCTCCACAAACCTCCACTCTGCAAATATTCCACTCGATAAATCTGCAAGAAAGGCACCACTCCGGGCTTAGCCCCAACACCCAGTGCTTTGGGAATGCACCGCACATCAGTTGAGCTTGGGAAGGCTAATGAAAATGTGCTCCATGAGCACAGCATATCCAGACCAGGGATACGAGCTTACCTTGACACCTGTTTGGGAGGGCCGTTGGGAGGGCCGTTGACTGTTCACAGTGCTGTCTTTGTCAGCCTCTTGTTGCATGCCTGCGCAAGGTACAACAACAACAACAATAACAACACTGGCTATCGTGAGAATAAAGATTTGAAACAACAACAACAGC